TCAGGGAAACCCTTCCTCCACCATGGTCTAAACCCCGAAGGTGCCCTTCTGGATCCAGTAGTTGAACCAGTCTTAGTCGGAAAGCACGGGAGATCACTTCGCCCACTGCCTCATCGCCTTTGATAATGTCCACCGCACTTGTGGACGAAACGTCAGGGAAAAATTCCCATGAACCACGGCTTCACAGCCCGAAAAACGTTTTTAAATGTGATTTGACCGGCAGTGAAAGCCTTCACAGTCTGATAAGCAGGGTTGTAGGTAATGTTGCCCCTTCGCGGGACTCCAATCAGAACGACAGCATGTGCGAAGAGCTGATTCTCAGCGACCATGACGAGCCCAGTCCGTCCAAAAGCACTACAACGGAGAGCCAGGTAAAAGAAAAAAGGATCTAAATTGCTCAGCAGGAAGACCAACCGGGAGTTTCCGCAGGTCACAGTGCGATCCAGTCCGGTAGTGCCAGAAACCGTCCCAGTTTGCCGCCAGTGCCATAAAAAATGCCTTTCCAACATCCTCAGCAGCAGTGAGCTCAGCCACTCTTGCGCTAATCAACGAAACAACAACCACGCCCCTGCTGTGGGCGTGGCGCCAGCTCCGGCCAACCCCGGCTCAGAGAACGACTGGCAATCCTTCCTTCTCCTAGGTAGGCCCAAATGTACTCGGGCTGGCCAACCAACGACCATCTTTTTGCAGGAATATGCGCCAATCCGGTGGCCAGTCTAGTGAAGTACGACCCGTTTAAAACCCCGGAAATTTCGGTGGCTCCGCCCACCCCGGAAAACTCAGTGATCAGCGACGAGGGCGAAAAGCCCCGACTGTGCCTGACTAATGGAACTTGCGACGACTCGATGGTAAAACTCGCTTTGCAACTTGGCCAACTGAAATCCTAATGAAAACTGCAGGAAAACAGGCAGGGGAGCGCGGCGCAGACTTCCGATGATGACTCGCCCCAAACCGAAGAACATCCCTATCATTCCCTGAGCAATTCGGTTCAGACTCTGAGGCGATTCGGCACTCTTTCCAGTCTGGAGCAGTTTGGATCTGAGGCGCCCGATGACGCATTTGAGACCAACTGCTCTTCGGAAGGTGAGCTACAAGCCAAACTCTTGGAGGGAACTGGAGGGTTTGCACTTTCAGAGAGTCTGGATGAAGACGATGAGTGCTTGGGGCTGGACAATGAAGCCTTCAACCACACCTCTATCATGAGCTGGACTGCGCGGGCTGGAAGCTTCGTTGCAGAGAAGATGGCTTTTTTCGAAAAACTCGACTACCGGAGCGGCGGCGGGTTCTTTGATCGGTGAGTTCCGGTGAAGGAGGATTCTCAGCTGAAACTTGTGCAACTTTTTTGTGGCAAACAGCTACCTGAAGTCGCCGGAGGAGCTTAAGGTTAACGGAGACGAGGCTCAAGAGGAGGAAACCTCAGGAGGAACATCTGGCGAGGAAGTTTGGGGCACGCCCACCAGCGGCGACTTGGACGACCCTCTGTGCTCGCCTTCTTTTGAGGGAAAACAATCGGTTAGGGCTTTGAGGGCATTTTTCGAAGGACCCAAGCACGATTTTGGGGGCTGATTGCATGAGTTTTTGCTTTCGCTTCCATCCAAAGCACTGCCCTGCATGTTTAGATTCGTTGAAGTGTTAAATGTGATGGAGCTGAACTTCCCACAGCCAAACGAATCCTACTCTTCAGACAACATGGATGACACAGAACTGATGATGGACGAGCTCCTGATGGCGCCTCCGATCACAGGGGCGATTCTGCGCGGGCTTCTGCCTAGGCGCACCTTGGAGCCTCTGATCGAGGAGGATTTTTCTGATAGCAGCTCATCGCCGTCGTCTGATCCGATTTCGCCCCAGTCTGGATCGTCTGATCAGGTAACTATTTCCTTAGTTGTAGATAAGTTCTATATTGTTGAGGCGGATTCATTTTTTACAAACTTCTTTTTGGGTATTTCGCCTCAAAAATTTTTGTCTTTA